CATATTTTCTACTCTTTTCTGGAGTGAAGGCAACAGATAAATGGAGTAGCTGCTCCCATCTCTGTCATTTAGACTGAGACTTCTTATCCTGTGCAAATCACTCATAAACATTATAGGCGTCCTGAGGTGAACTGGTATTGTCCACCTCTCTGCGGAAAACTAATCCCATCCAAATAGAGCTTAAGACACAACTAGGGCTGAACTAGTTGGGAAAAATATCTAACTGTGATTTTTCTGACCAATAATGCAATCAAGATTTTTTATTTTCTATAAATTATGTTTAAGTCCTTTTTTTCCAAGTCCAGCACATTTTTCAAGCTTGAGGCTTGAATGCTGAACACAGTGCGCCAGATGGCCAGTTCACAAGCTCTGTGTTATTAGGTTCAATTTCCCTACTTAAAACATAAAGACAATGTTGAAAAATGTACAATATATATAATTTGGAAATTCAATATGAAAACAATTTCAGCCTTAGACACTCATCCACGTCATTGTTCCAACGAATTTTATCGTTCATTAATATTGTTTTTAACAACCTATGATCTATTTTAATCCCTAATTTTGTTCTTGTGTTTTATTTATCTATGTTTTAAAAGTCTGGTTCTGGGTTAAATTTGGTGAACCTCAAAAGAAATCTGGCTTCCTGTTTGCCAGCTTCTTAATCAAACTCTCCTTTCCACCTTAACCTGCTGAGGTCCATAAACTCACCCGTGCATCAAATTCTCTGTTTCTATATCTGTGTCTGTATCTTTGAGATGATCCAGCTCAGAAATCCAGTTCAAACACTTCCTGAATCTGTAGAGTCGCCCTTTCCATTCCATCTTAACACGAGATCATACGACACTCACATCCGGAGTTATGAGCCTATGAAGAGGGGCTGAGATACACGTCATCTGCCTCTCACCGTGTGGAACTGGTGGATTGGTGTGTCCGTCTACATTCTGTGTGAAACTGACCAATGGACACTCAGGAACTCACTAAGGACTGACCATCACGCCGGAAACCCTTCATTCTTCATTCGGTCCACATCGGAGACTCATGTGAAACGGCGTGCAGAGAGTTTACAGCTGCTGAAGCTGCTGCAGCGGGTTTGGAAAGTAGTGATGAAGATAACGGAGCATTTAGATATGAAACATATGAGGATCATGTTATATGAAGAGCCTTTAAAGGAGAGTTTAAGGAGATATGAACAAACTGAGAACATCACCTCAGACCACAGAGGGCTAAATGGTTCCCTAATTTCATTAAAAAATAAAGTTTCTGGTAGTTTGTAACTAAACCCATAGGGGCCAACAGCAACACGCAAAAGTACTCAGGGCTTTTGTGTTCACTCTCTGTCTCTGTCTGCTTTTGCCAAACTTATCTGATCAGATTTTTGGCTTACGGACCGGATTAGATCCTGAAATCTCTCGACGTGGCTTGCTGGTTCAGAACCAGAACCAAAATCCGGTTGAATAAATATGGAGAAGAGAAAAGCCCCCAAATCCAAGCTTGCTTTAGTTGAAACTGTTGTTATTCCACAGGCACAAACAAAGTGTTTCTGCAAATAAACCTGAATTCCACTGATTTTTCTCAATTTCTGCATAATTTAGTGGTTAAGATGTAAACAGAGCGGTTCTGAGTGGTTCTGAGTGGTTTGGTGTGAAACGCTCTGTTCTAGATAACCTTAATGAGTCAGAACTGTTCACAGTGGTGGTGATAGGAACCAGACGTCCACCTCTAAAAGCTCCCTCACAGAAAGTTCCTACATGAAATGGTTATGAATTCACTGCCTGATGACCGAGACACTGTTTTATGATAGTTTAGAGAACTTAAACTCCATTCATGGTGGAGGGATACATGCAGGGCGCTGTGAGGCAAAATAGTCCCCAAAGAAAACTTATTATTTCAGATTTTCCACTATTTTCCATCATCAACATTCCATATAAACTCAGAAGACTCGTGTAGGTTCACTGGTGGTTCTGGATAGTAAATAAAATATCTATATCTGTGTTGTAGTCATGGCGACCCCTGGTTCCTATCACCACCACTGTAAAGACATCTGAACCATTTCACACCAAACCACTCTGAATCTCTCTGATTACATCTCACACACTGAGTTATGGAGAAAATTTGAAAAATCTATAAAATTTTAGTCACTTACTCTCTCTCTAAACCCCCCCTTTCTCTTTTTCTCTCCTTTCTCTTCCTCTCTCTTTCTCTCATTCTCTCTCCTTTCTCTTCCTGTCTCTATCTCTCTATTTATCTTTCATTCTCTCTCACTCCCTCTCTCTCTCTCGCCTCTTTCTCTCTCTCTCTCTCTCACACACACACACACATATTTCTCTCTCCTTTCTCTTCCTCTCTCTCATTTCTCTCTCTAATTCTCTCTCCTTTCTCTTCCTCTCTCTATCTATTTCTCTCATTCTCTCTCTCACTCCCTCTCTTTCCCCTCTTTCTTGCTTTCTCTCTCTCTCTCTCTCTTTTACACACACACACATTCTCTCTCCTTATTCTTCCTTTCTTCCTCTTTCTATCTCTTTCTCATTCTTTCTCTCTCTATATATATCTCTATTTGTCTCTCAGTATCTCTCTCACTCCCTCTCTTCCTTTTCTGTCTCTAATTCTGTCACTTTCTTTCTCTCGCCCCTCACTTTCTCTCTCTCCTTCTTCCTTTGTCTCTCCCCTCTCTTCTTTCTCTCCTTTCTCTTCCTTTATTCCTCTCTATCTCTTTCACTCTGTCTCTCTCACTCCCTCTCTCTCTCTCTCTCTCTCTCTCTCAACTCTCATCCTCTCTCTCTCTCTCTCTCTCTCTCTTAACTCTCATCCTCTCTTGCTCTCTCTCTCACTCTCTCTCTTAACTCTCATCCTCTCTTCCTCGCTCTCTCACTCTCTCTCTTAACTCTCATCCTCTCTCTCTCTCTTAACTCTCATCCTCTCTCTCTCTCTTAACTCTCATCCTCTCACTCTCTCTCTCCCTCTCTCTCTCTCTCTCTCTTAACTCTCATCCTCTCTCTCTCTCTCTCCCTCTGTAGTTAGGAGAATAACTTCTCGTCACTCTGAGGATTGTATATCGCGCTCAGTGGTCATTAGCACCCTGTGGTCAGTGCGTTAGTGTGACCGGAGGATCTGGCTGTGGTTATGGTTGTGGTGTGTGTTCTGTGAGCGCCGAGTCCGGGTCAGTGCCGTCTCTGAGCGGTTACGTAATCGGAGGATAATACACTGTCAGCTCTGTTTAGTCTTCTTCCTTCTGAATGAGTGTAACAGATCTTTCAGCAGCTCCAGCCACTTCAGCTCAGCTCAGACCTCCAACCTCAGAGGCTCTGACGCTCAGACACCTACAGAGTATCCTCTGTCTGTCCAAAAGTACCCAGAATGCCTTACTAATCGGTGAACTCTGCAACTTCAAAGGGAAATTCCACTGACGTTTCCAGATTCCCCCATAATTCAAAGATGTAAACAGAGAGATTCAGAGTGGTTTGGTGTGAAATGGTTCAGATGTCTTTACAGTGGTGCTGATAGGAACCAGGGGTCGCCATGACTACAACACAAATATAGACATTTTATTTACTATCCAGAACCACCAGTGAACCTACACGAGTCTTCTGAGTTTATATGGAATGTTGATGATGGAAAATAGTGGAAAATCTGAAATAATAAGTTTTCTTTGGGGACTATTTTGCCTCACAGCGCCCTGCATGTATCCCTCCACCATGAATGGAGTTTAAGTTCTCAAACTATCGTAAAACAGTGTCTCAGTCATCAGGCAGTGAATTCATAACCATTTCATGTAGGAACTTTCTGTGAGGGAGCTTTTAGAGGTGGACGTCTGGTTCCTATCACCACCACTGTGAACAATTCTGACTCGGTAAGTTTATCTAGAACAGAGCGTTTCACACCAAACCACTCAGAACCGCTCTGAATAACTCTGTTTACATCTAAACCATCTAATTAATTTTGGAATTGCCCTTTAAGGTGCACTCATTTCTGACACAGGCTTTCATGTATAGTGTGTAATTTGATATGGTAGTTTATATATACTGGTTTATATAAATTCCTCTGACATCACAAACATAACAAGACTAACAAAAGCAAGTGATCAGTGTATAAACTGAGTTTACCACAGAGAATTGTTTTTCTGTATATACACTGTTATTTGTCAACAAGCATTTTCCCATTAGGTGCATCCATCAATACTCACTTGCCACTTTATTAGAAACACCTACCATATACTTCCACTCATTGGCCACTTTATTAGAAACACGTACCTTATACTTCCACTCACTGGCCACTTTATTAGAAACACCCGACTTGTGCTTCCACTCGCTTGCCACTTTATTAGAAACACCCGCCTTGTGCTTCCACTCGCTTGCCACTTTATTAGAAACACCTACCATGTACTTCCACTCATTGGCCACTTTATTAGAAACACGTACCTTATACTTCCACTCACTGGCCACTTTATTAGAAACACCCGACTTGTGCGTCCACTCACTTGCCACTTTATTAGAAACACCTACCATGTACTTCCACTAACTGGTCACTTTATTAGAAACGCCTACCATGTACTTCCACTCACTGGCCACTATATTAGAAACACATACCTTATACTTTCACTCATTGGCCACTTTATTAGAAACACCCGCCTTGTGCTTCCACTCACTTGCCACTTTATTAGAAACACCTACCTAACTAACTGGCCACATTCTTAGAAACATCCGCTTTGTACTTCAACTCACTGGCTACTTTATTAGACACACCCACATTGTTCTTCTGCTAACTGGCTACTTTATTAGAATATCTTTCCTTTTTTCAGCCTGATGGACAATTCATCATTTTCTGCTTTGGTCTGAACCAAAAGAGCCCAACGACAAGTATAAACACACCATGAACAGTAACTGTATCCTGAATGCTGCCTTTGCAAAATGTAACTTGGACTGAACACAGGTATTTGATTTCTGTATTCTGAATACTTGTCTTCCGTTACTTTTCAACCCTGGTGAGCAGTTGTGTTGCCCTACCTGGACTCCATGGTGTCTTTGGTCAGATAGACGATCCAGTAGACCAGGTTGAAGGCGCCGAAGCTCAGAGGGAAGAGGATGCGGGAGTATTTATCGATGATGCTAGTTCCCGCTAGCATGGCGTTAGCAGGCACAGCGGAACCCTGCTGGCGGAAGTCCGGCGGGGGTGGTGCGGAGAACCGGGGGGGCGTTTCCCTCTGAGACAGAGAATTCAACCTCTTCTTCAACACACCTCCAGGGTCCAACGGAGGCTGAACACACAAAAACAATAAAAATAATTATCAACTTCACTGATAAACAGATAGAGCACAATGTCAGACTGTAAAGGTGTTTCAATGCTAGGCTGTCAATTCAGGATATAAAAGTCAAAACTTGGTCGAAAGACGAAGGAAAAACCCAGATCAACGATAATGCTAACTTCTGCTAGTGTCCCTAGAGGATTCTGGTAGTTTGCTAGCACTGCGCTATTGCTTGTAAGCAATAAGCTAATTTGCATTAATGTGTTTTGGCTGTTTCAGATTAAACACAAACATCTCAAGCTTCTATAAGACGTTCTATGTTTTACTTGGAGACAGATGTTTTAGCATATATTTTACCTTTAAGTTTCACAGCTCCTGATACTGTTTTCCATTTGTGTGCACCATTTTAAGAGAAGGAACAACCATGAACCCACACCAGCAGGAGCTCACAGTGCACAACTGCAGTTTTCAAATTAAGATGTGAAACAGTTTATTACCAAAAGATGCTGAGTTACTTAATACAGTTTTGAGGATTGATATATTAGCTTGATGTATTGTAGCTCCAGTGCAAAACCAAAAAGGCAAACTTTGGACTGCAAATATGTCTTAGCTCATTGGCTACATTCCGGACATGAACAATAAAGCTATACAGGACCTATAACAGTATCTTACTGAATATGCCAGGCTTATCATAAATATATATATATATATATATATATATATATATAGATATATATATAGATATATGTACAGAAATGAGTATGAAAAGTCAGTATGAATTTGCACTGAACATTACTATTACCAAAATAAACACAGCTAGCTTTTAGAAAATGCTAGTAAAGTTACACACAATGAAAGCTAACGATAAAGACGTGCTGTTTGATTGTATCTAACCAAATATGTAAAGTTTACCTTAAAAAGGTGGGATCCCACCTTTAGACACTCGAGACACCCTAGTATAAGCTTCCACTACTTGTTAGCTACATTACCCTGCTGCAAAAACCAGCACAGACCAGCACATGTTGTGTTTTGGATGCTGGTATGGTATAGTGATGCTGCTCGACCAGCTAAACCAGCACCAGACCAGCACTACACCAGCACAAACACGCACAAACCAGCTTACACCAGCATGGAATACAGGATGGTCTGTGCTGGTTTTTGCCACAGGGTTCATCAATACTGACATTTTTTTAGCAAGAAAAAATATTGTGCCAATTATTTTTAGATCACAGAAATGAAGCTCTGCTAATCATTCTAACACAGTTTTAACAATAAATAGTCTTAAACACTGGAGAACTGCTAATTCACCCTTTAACCCTGAAGACTGGTGCACAGACTGCTGGTCACCATAGCAACACAAACAACAATCTTGCCTAGCAAATAGCTAATAACAAGACAAAGAGAGAGATTTAAGATGAACATCGATAATTTGGAGACGAATGGACTGATTTGCGTTTATAATCACTCCAGCTGGTTTCCTGATACGTTTAATCTGCAACGAGAAACTGACAAACACTAAAAAGTCACGAAGCTGAAGTCAGTTTCTCATTCGCCAGCTTCTCATTCGCATTTTCCTGTTCCACCTTAAATGGCACAGCAGTTACATTCTGGCACTTTAGGCACCATTTAAGGTGGAACAGGAAAATTCGAACAAGAAGCTGGGGAATGAGAAGCGACTTCAGCCTCGTAAAAAGTCGAATGTTGAGAGAAATTTCACAAGAAACTGTTCTACTTTTGAGGAAAAGTTTCCTGCTGGAGATGTGAGAAAAGCAGCTATAGCTGAGCTAAAGCTTAAAGCAGAGCAAAGTAAGTCTGTGTTTTTGTTTATATTTTTAGCCTATACTAGTACATTATCACACACTGAGACATATTTACAGCCAAGATGGTAAAATGGACATAAAGTGTTGTGGCTTCCAAGGTGGTTTGATTTTGCTGAAAGGAAAAAATGGCTCTTCTTAACATTTGGGTTGCGACCCCTGAGCTAGTAGATAAATTAGCCGCATTACTTAAGAAGCTAACTTCAAAAAATCAAATATATCTTGACTGATCGACTTCATTTGGGGTAAGGATGAAAATTGAGTAAATTATTGATTTTTTTGCCTTCTCCAGTAATCTTTTATCTACTAAACTGAAGTTGTTCAATAACTTAATCACTTAAAGTATAAAATAAAACACAACAGTGACCAGGTTTGGCTCAAACTAGCAGTCAGTCCTCCATGGCATGCATTACGGGAGCGATCGCTCTCTGTAAAGGGCTTTCTGGTGTTTTTTTCTGGCAGTGTCTGACGGCTCTGACTGGGCTTTCATGGCTGAGCAGGTTTTCAGAGCTGCGTGTCAGCTGTGTATCTCCGTGTGGCTCCTGGCTCGGCCTGCATTAATGCTGCTGCTATTTTCACCAGCGCACCAGGCAGCGCTCAACCTGGGCTAAACGCCCGCAAAGTCGGACGTTCACACATAGAGATTTTCTTTCTTCTCTCTTTCACTGTATTCTGAGCCAAAAGTAGCCAAGGCAGATAACAAGCTCAATGTGTTTCAGTCACAAATGATATTTTCATAGTTTTCAGGTTATTTAGACATTAGTTTAGGCTTTTAATAATGCTTTGAGAATGTATTAAGTGAAATGTGAAACAAAATTCAAGCTGCTGCTACTGTTTTTAGCCATGATAATGTTCCTTTTGTCAGTGTTTATAGATAAGAATGTGTCATACAGTGTCAGAAACCTCATAATCAACTCAATCAGATTGAGATTAATTTCAGCATAAAACTACCATTTAATATGTTGTTGTGTTATGCTGTAATTCACAGTTTTATAAGCCTTTCATGTTTTCATTCATCACTACAATTCCCAGCACTAGGGCACAACCACTGGGAATCCCTGTGGAGTCAACCAATCAGTTAGACTAATAAAGACAACCAAACTAGCATTAGTGTAACTCCTACCTCCATCATCAAACAAAATCATAAAGATAACAGTGGCTTCTTTCCCAGCTAACAAAATTACGTTCTCAGAACGTTCCCCTAACGTTCCATTTTGGTTGTGGGAACGTTGCATTGGAATGTTCCCTCAACGTTATTTTGTCCAGTTTTCTTAATGTTCTCAGAACGTTCTTTATAAGTCATGAAAACGTTCCTAGAACGTCACCTCAACCATATTTGCAACAATTATTTATTTTTATTCCTCTGGAATAAACCGGAGAAGACTGGCTGCAACCACCGAATCTCCGTCACCATGGCAACAGTACTCAAAACAGGCTGTGGAAAACTCGTTGTTTCTAGTAACAGCAGTTTCAGTTTTTAATGTAGTTTTTATTAAATGCATTCAGAAAAAAAAGAAGAAAAAAGAAAAGTAATAGCTTATCTCAAATCTATTATTGAATTAAATATTAGGTTAAGCTAAAAAAGTCCAGTAGAACAAAATGGATTCGGTTTTCAACTGTGCACCTCATCATCTCAAAAAATGGATGTAAGACAGTTGACTAATGTTTCCTAATATGTGTCTAAAGAACATCATGCATACAGTCCTTTAAACTATTTATTTAAAAAAAAACGTTAAAAGAACGTTCCTTTAACGTTACACTGAGAACGTTTCAGACTAACATTGTGAGAACTTTGATCAAGGTCACATAACGTTTACCGAACGATCTATTGACATTACTGTGAGAACGTTTGCTCCTAACATTAGGAGAACCTTTACATAACGTTAGTCAAAGTTGTGGGAACGTTCCCTGTTAGCTGGGTTTCTACTGCAGGGCCGAATGGTTCTGAGCACAGAGGGTAACCGTTCCAGTGGCGTTTCCACATGGACACGGTTTGACACGGAACATTTAAAAACGTATGGAATGTTTTTTCAGCACGGTTAGCTAAACGTACTTCGGTCCACAGAACCGGTGGGATGACGTTGCTATTCGCTGACTTGTTCTATTTTTATGTCGGTGTTGTGCCACAGTTTCCTGCTGCATTAGTTCAAACTTGAAAACAATTAAATAAGTTCAGTTTGATCACACAGACGGAAAATAAATGAAAGCATTTTAACCCCCCCAATAGCAAGAGGACAGTGGGCCACTGTCGGCCCACTGATGGCAAAGCTGGTGGTCCACTGGCATTTTGCTCAGCGTTTTACAGGCGGCCCACCAGTGTTTAAGCAAAGTAATAGACAAAATTCCACTTAGCATCACTCATTTTCCACTCACAGTCCAATTTACAGATTTTTTTTTCTTCCTTCATTTCTTTAGTTATACTTAAACATAAATTAGTTTAGTAAATAATTTTAATCCGGCACAGCGTCAGCAACACTCTATAAAATCATTTTATATCAGGCCTGGTCTTTATTTTTTTCTCTCAGTTATTTGTAATTTTTGTCTAAGTTTATTTTCTAAAATAAAAGCCTCTGTGCGTTTAAAATCTGCTTGAGGAGATTAAAAACTAGTTAGAGCTTGTATGCAGGACTGTAATCTGGGTGGTCCGAGGGTGGTCAGCAGGGTGCCGACCTTATCAAGCTAGTGGACAGATACATGCTCACTATCTGAGCCACCATTCAATAAACATCAAAGCTTCAATTTCTAAGTATTAAACGGTGCTGATAACCAGGACAGAGTAACTGGTAAGCATTATCTTAACTAGCATGCTGCCAGCTCTGCTCACTACAGAACAGGTTCAATTCTGACTAACAGAAGCTTTACTGACACATGTTAAGATGAAAATGACTCAAATCTGAGGAAGCGAAGTCGAGTGGCTGATTAGAGGGACAGAAAGCCGATATTAAACCTGTTCTCTGGTGTCTGGAGCTGTGGCCTCCTAGCTAAGCTAATGCTAGCCGTTCCTCTCTCCTAGTTAACTTAGCATAGCTAAAGAGATCCAAACACCCCAGTGCAGGTTCAATTCGACTAACTGGTGCTCTGTTATCACAAGTATAGATGATAAAACTTATAACAGCGAGAGCAAAGTCGACCGAATGATGGTGGAGCGACAGAAAGACAAAATCGAACTTGTTCTGTAGTGCTTTAAGCTGTAGCCTGCTAGGCTAAGCTAACGCAAGTGCACAGTACCAGTGCAGGCTCAGTTCTAGCGAACCGATGATTAAAAACACCCGTTTACAGGATAAAGACTCGTATCTGAGAGCATAAATTCAAATGACTGGTGTTGAAGTGACAGAAAAATAAAAATTTTCTGTGGTGCTTTGAGCTGCACCCTGCAGGGCGACGCTAAAGCTAATGTAGCTAGTTATTCTGCTACAGGTGAAACCCACCGCAGTACAGGCTGTTTCAGTAACAGATGCTCAAATAACCCCCGTTTAGAGGATAAAAAGGATGAGAGCAGCTGAGAGACTGGAGTTTGAGTGACAGACGGAATCAAACTTGTTTTGTGGTGGGTGGTGTGTGCATGGCTATTAGCCTGTTAGCAGTTAGCCACTCATTTGTGTAGTTTCCTTGGGTTCCTGGTTCTGACTTAGTGGTACAACAGATGGAAAAAGAATCCATAACCGGCCTCACGAGTCCGGACCAGCGAGGAACGGCCCAGTACGGCCCTGAGAACCATTTACCTCGACAGTGGAAAAGCGGCCAGTGTTTTTACCTTTATTCAGCACTAAATGAACACCAGAGACATGTTTATGTACCGTTTTAGTCAGAAAAAAGTAGCCTAGCTGAGATTAGGTATCTAGACAGCCTGCTAATTAGCTAACGTTAGCTTCAGTAAATTTTAATGATGATTTTAAAGCAGTTACTACAATTATGCAGCTGCAATGAGGTATTTGGCTTCATAGTAGTGATGTCCCAGACAGTGAGCATATATCGGCCCGCTGGCTTGGTAAGGTCGGCACTCCACGGACAGTTTGTCACTGCTGGTCCACCCTTGGATCACCCAGATTACTGTCCTGCATACAAGCTCTAACTAGCTTTTAATCTCCCCAAACAGATTTTAAATGCACACAGACTTTTATTTTAGAAAATAAACTTAGACAAATATTACAAATTACTGAGAAAAAACAATAATGACTAGGCCTGATATAAAATGGTTTTATTTAAAATGTAGCTGACACTGAGCTGATTAAAATTCTTTAATAAATATAATTTCTAAAGTATAACTAAAGAAAGATAAGATGGTAAAATAAGTAAACTGGACTGTGAGTGGAAAATGAGTGACGGTGAGTACTCTGCTCAAACATCGGTGGGCCACCCAGAAAACGTTAAAATGCCAGTGGAGCATCAGCTTTGCCAACAGTGAGCCGACAGTGGTCCTATATCCTCTGCCTCCCTTCTAAATTGACAAGCTAACAAAGAAAAACAGTCAACCACCAAAAATTCACCGCAAAGTAACTTGTTTTCCTCCCAGCTTCAACATACATCAGATATAGAAGGCATTCCTAGTCCTGAAACAGAAAAATCCCACTCTAGTGACAGATGCAGCTCAGCTAGGATGCGAGTAGGCATATTTATAACAGACGTAACAATGATTAGATTTTTCATTCAGGCTGAAGTGTCATCTAAACAACTCGACACAGTTGTCTGAAGGTTAAAACACCAGGCTGATTCATGGGGTTTCATCTTCCAGCCTCAGAGCTCCAGTGCAAAACTAAAGAAGCCAACTTTAGGGACCAAACATGCCTTGGCTGATCGACTACATTTGGGGTAAGAGGCAAAGTTGATTTATTGCCAAACTTTAAGCTAACAGCAGCAGGTGGAAAGGGAGATAGAGCAGAAGTGGTGGGGGGTTTAAGGAAGAGTGAGTAAGCCACACTTTCTTTGTTCCTCCACAAAGCTGCAAGGCCTTTCCACCCACCAACTCAGCCACCAACTTAGCTACTGCAGGCATTGTGAGCAAAATACAAAACCAACGCGTCAAACACACCAACACGAGATCTCCCACTGACGTCAGGAGACGGAGAGAAATCTGCACATTTCTTTCACCCATTCATTCATTTATTATGTCCCTCACTTTCTGTCCTCTCTCTCGCTCCCTCGTTGTCACTGTGGCGTTTTTTTTCCAAAGGTCACCGCGGGGTTTTGCCTTTTGCTCTGCGGCAATCTGAACATTTCCCCCTTTGTGCTGCGTTTAATCGAGCTTCTTACGTAATGATACTCCACTGGCTGTCTCTTCCGTCTAGTGAGCTCCTCATCAAAGAGAGAGCGAGGGATGAAGGGGAAGAAAAGGCTGCACTGAAGCAAACCCTACACAACAGGGTGGGGTTGGGGTGGCGGACATGGAGAGAATTGCCCCACAGTTGGAACATTGTTCCTCTTCAATTGGAATATTGTGTCCCCTCACTTGTAATACTCCCCTCCCCACCTCAATTGGAATATTGTTCCCCTTCAGTTGGAATACCCTCCCCCTTCTGTAGAAATACTGCGCTCCCTCAGCTGGACTATTGCTCCCCCTCAATTGGAATCTTGCCCCCCCACCCCCACTTAGTTAGGAAATTATTCAGACTCAAATGGAATATTGTTTCCCCTTAGTCAACATACTGTCCCTTCATAGTTGGAATACTGCCTCCCTGAGTCTGCAGTTAAGTCCCCTTCAGTTGGAACACTGTGCCCCTTCAGTTGGATTCTTGATCCCCTCAACTGAACAACCGCCCTTTGAGTTGGAATACTGTCCTCCTTCAGTTGGAAAATTGTTCTCCCTTAACTAAAAATATACTTCCGCCTCAGTCTTAATATGGTTTCCCCTTGGTTGGAATACTGTGCCCCCTCGTCCCTCATATTCTTTCTCCATAGTAGAAATACTATGGCCGCTCATTTGGAATACTGCCCCGAGCCCTGTGTGGGAATAAAGTCCCCATTTAGTTGGAATACTGTTCTTCCTCATTTGGAATACTGTCCTCCAGTCTGAAATTTGCCCCCCTCACTTGGAATGCTGTTGTCCCCAGTCAAAATGCCAATCAGATAAAGCTCTCTACCCTTTGAGCAGGAATACTGTCCTCCTTCAGCTGGAATATTGTTCCCCCTTAATTAAAATATCATTCCGCCTCAGTCTGAATATAGTTTCCCCTTGGTTGGAATACTGTGCCCCCTCGTTTGGAATACTGCCCCCAGCCCTTGGACTATTGCTCCCCCTAAATTGGAATCTAGCTCCCCTCTTTAGTCAGAACATTGAGAATATATTTCGTCCCCTTTTTTGGAATAAGTCCCCATTCAGTTGGAATACTGTTCCTCCTCATTTGGAATCCTGTGCCCCAGTCTGAATTTTGCTCCCCTTTAGTTGGAATATTCTTTCTCCACAGTAGAAATACTATGCCTGCTAATTTGGAATACTGTCCTCAGCCCTCAGTGGGAATATTGTTCACACTCTGAAGGAATATTTTGCCCCTTTTGTTGGAATAAAGTCCCCATTCAGTTGGAATACTGTTCCTCCTCATTTGGAATACTGTCCCCCGTCTGAAATTTGCCCCACTTCAGTTGGAATATTCTATCCCCATAGTTGAAATACTATGTGTGCTCATTTGGAATACTGCCCCCAGCCCTCAGTTGGAAAATTATTCCCACACAGAAAGAATTCTGTTGTCCTCTCTAATTTGGAATATTGTTCCTCCTGACTGCTGTTGTCCCCAGTCAGCTGTGTGTCACCAATTTCAGGTTGGTTCATTTTCTCATGAAGTATCAAAATGTTTTCACCCTTCCTTTTATAATGGATCTGGCTGAGACTTAAGGATGAGGACCCTGTTGCCATGGAAAACACATCGTTACCTATTTTTGTAATGATCAATTATCAAAACAGGAAAGCTGTTATTGGAGTGGAGGTGTCCACTTCTGTCATTTCTTTTGCCTTATTGTCCTAATTAACTTTGCCACCAGGCCTGCACTAAAGTGAGAGGAAGTGGATGAGGAAGAAGAGGAGGAGGAAGATTACCGAAACAACTTCCCCGTCGCTCCCAGCAGCCGTTGCCATGGTAGCTCGAGCGGCATTGGCCCGGCGAAGCTCCCGATTTGCCTGCAGAGTGGAGAAATAATTGACAGCGGCGAACTCGATGAGGGCGGAGAAGACAAAAGCAAAGCAGACGGCGATGAACCAGTCCATAGCAGTGGCGTAGGACACTTTAGGGAGGGAGTGACGGGCGCTGATACTCAGAGTGGTCATCGTCAGTACTGTGGTGATGCCTGCAAGAGAACACACACAGAAACAGGTCAACTTACAACAAACAGCAGGAGTGAAAAGTTTGGACACGTGCACACAGAAGAATATTCACTATTTTCAATAAAATCGAACACATGAAAGCACCTTCATGAGGAGCCATCTGAGATGCTTCTCCAACAGCACTGAAGAACATATACCTACCAGCCGCTTCATTAAGTCCACCTCCTTGTTTCTACACTCACTGTCCATTTTATCAGCTCCACTGGCCATATAGTTTCACTTTGTAGTTCTACAGTTACAGACTGTAGTCCATCTGTTTCTCTGCATACTGTGTTACCCTGTTCTTCAATGGTCAGGACCCCCACAGGACCACCACAGAGCAGGTATTATTGGTGGTGGTGTGTTGCACTGGTGCGAGTGGGTCAGACACAGCAGTGCTGCTGGAGTTTTTAAACACTGTGTCCACTCACTGTCCACTCTATTAGACACTCCTACCTTCTCAGTCCACCTTGTAGATGTAAAGTCAGAGACGATAGCTCATCTGCTGCTGCACAGTTTGTCTTGGTCATCCTCTAGTCCTTCATCAGTGGTCACAGGACGCTGCCCACAGGACGCTGTTGGCTGGATATTTTTGGTTGCTGGACTATTCTCAGTCCAGCAGTGACACTGAGATGTTTAAAAACTCCAGCAGCACTGCTGTGTCTGATCCACTCAGACCAGCACAACACACACTAACACACCTCCACCATGTCAATGTCACTGCTGAGAATGATCCACCACCCAAACATGACCTGCTCTGTGGGGGTCTATGGGGGTCCTGACCACTGAAGAACAGGGTAACAAAGTATCCAGAGAATGGACTACAGTCTGTAACTGTAGAACTACAGAGTGAAACTATACGGTCAGTGGAGCTGATAAAGTGGACAGTGAGAGTAGAAACAAGGAGGTGGACTTAATGAAGTGGCCGGAATAGGCAATTTGCATTTGCTTTGAAGGGTTAACAGTGTAATTCCATATGTAGAACTACAACGTGCTCCTATATGGTCAATGAAGCTGACAGAGAAAGGAAGATTGAATGAGAGAAGAGAAGAGAAGAGAAGAGAAGAGGGGTTAGAGGGCGAGAAGAAATGGATCTGTTGGGCCAAACTGGGCTCAGTGATGCGTGTTAGCATTACTGGTCATTCACTCAGAGAGCAACATGGACTCGTATGGAATAGCTCCAGGATAAACACTAGCTGTCCATTTATGTATCCACACAGAGAGGAATGAAGAGCATAACAAGACACAATGGAGTCCAGGTTATTAATGTCATTGTTTTTTCTGGATAGCCTGCTGTTAGTTACTGTGCATCTTCATTAATCTTCATTAAGGTTCCTGAGTGTTTTCACTCACTCAAAAACCATAAAGACACATTTCACACAGCCATAACGAGGGAGATCTGTGTAGGCTGTGGCAGAAGATACAGTTATATTGAGATGTAGTACGCAAATGTGTATACTGGTTTTCAAAGTGTCCTTGTCACACATATTCTCGGTCAGAGATGCAGCAACACCAGCACTAAATGACCAGTTCAAAACACATAAACCAGAACATCCAGACCATAAACTCAGAGCAGGGTTGGAGACCACTGAGGGTGTTTTTCCACAGCACAAAGTTGCGGAAACATTGCGCACCACAAAACTAGAACTAGCTTTTTCCATTGGTCATCAGTCCAGTACTGAAGGTTCCAGTTTCATGGCTTTTTGGTACGTGCTCATGATTGATACCATCAGGACTTAATGGTACTTGAGAATGTTCTCTTCTGACTTTGGTAACACTTGCAGCTGAGGCTAACAATTCAGCAATTTCTTTACTTTTACAGGTGAAGATTAAGCCACTGAGCACTATTACAACGCTCCGGAGCCGCATGCAGCTCTTTTACTGCCCTGTTGCAGCTTCACAGCTGAATCTGATTTGTAGGTAAAATTAAAATAATCCTCCTTTACAGTAAAATAAAGCTCTGCTGATCGTTCAACACAGTTTAACAATAAATGGTCTTAAACTCTGGAGTTAATGTAGAACTGCTGATTCACCGTTTAACCCTGAAGATCAGCACAGACTGCTGGTCACCATAGCAACACAGACAACAGTCTCGCCTAGCTAGTAGCTAACGAAACGGCAAAGAGAGAGATTTAAGATGGACATTGATGATTCACAGACGAAGGTACTTATTTGCATTTATAATCACTCCAGCTGGTTTCCTGACACGTTTAATCTGCAGTGAGAAACTGTCAAAAACTAAAAAGTTGCGAAGCTGAAGTCAGTTTCTCATTCGCCAGCTTCTTGTTCGAATTTCCCCGTTCCACCTTAAACGGTGCGGCAGTTACATTGTAGCACCTCAAGATGTAACAGGAGAATTCAAACAAGAAGCTGGCGCGTGAGAAGTGACTTCAGCCTTGTAAAAAGTCAAACAAGACATTTTACAAGAAACTATTGTACTTTTGAGGAGAAGTTTCCTGCCGGAGATGCGAGAAAAGCGGCTATAGCTGAGCTGAAGCTTAAAGCAGAGCAAAGTAAGACTGTTTTCATTTGTATTATATTTTTAGTCTATATTAGTGCATCAGCACATACTGAGACACATTTACAGCCAAGATGGTAACACGGACATAAAATGTTGTGTCTCCTAAGGTGGTTTGATTTTTGTTGAACCTTTGGTTTGCAACTCCTGTCCTGGATGCTTCCATTTTACAATAATAACACTTACAGTTCACCAGGGCAGATCTAGCATGAACTGACTTGTGTCAGAGGTGTCATCCTATGACAGTGCCACGTTTAAGGTCACTGAGCTCATCAGTACGACCCTCTACTTCCAGCGTGTGTCTATAAAGACTGCATGGCTATGCGCTTGATTTTATACACCTGCTTGCACTCAGGTGTGGCTGAAACACCTGACCTCAATAATGAGGAGGGGTGTCCACATACTTTTGGCTATTGTAGAACTAAGACCCAGTAGTTCCCATTTGGGTCAGTTCTTGTGGGAAGTGGGAAAACATGACTTCAGAAAAACTCACACCAATAATCGCTGATCTTGAGCCTAAAACATCTGCAAAACTGTCTTCAGTTAATCACTTATTCAGTCACCTTAAGAGTCATCACAGAAAACTACAGCCAAATAGTCAGAGAGAGAAACACAGACCTCATTGTCTCTTTGCTCCAGCACAGCCTTTGGCTCACTGTCCACTCAATAATTCAGCTGAGATAACGGTTAAGTCCCTAAAGGTCTGCCCTGCTCTACCCTACTGCCTGTGTGTTATCCCTGCAAAGAAAACTAAGAAAGAGAGAACGGATAGAGGAAATGAGCTGTTCAAAAATGCTAATGTGGCTAAAACAAGTTCAAGGATTTGGACCGTTAAATTGGGACAAAGCCAACAAGCCTGATATCTTATATTAGCTTTTTATTAACTACTACATAACATGTCCCTACGATACTAACAGAGCTGCAATACCGTATTTCTAATAATTCCTATGATGAGTCATTGTTTTCTTCATTTTGAGAAAGCCTTAAATGTCCTACGCCTTGGTTATTACATGTGGTAGCACTGAAAGTGGGTAACAGTCCTTTTAGAGACAAACTGGGAAACCAAAATCAATCACATTTCAGCGCCAGTAGTTGCAGTAAATTGTCATTTACTACATTATAATAAACAAATGAGCCAGTGTTTCACCAGTTGGTTTCAATTAGAGATGCAATTTTTTCTCCTCTTCTGATATCTGAAATACAGTTGTATGCACAAGTTTGGGCACCCCAGCAAAATCCCATGTTCTTCTTGATTTTCTAAGTGAAAATAGGTTAACACATCCTCTACACAGACACACTTCTGCACATTTTAAAGCATAATTACTGTTAATTTACTGAATTTAACATATTGGAGGGAACTCCCACAGTAACTATTTAAAAAAGTGAAGTATTCAGATCTTAGATATTTACAAGGATTATGTTATGATTTGCTTAAACACAAGGCATTAATAAAGGCAGTAAACAGCTAAATATACACAAAATTATAATTTATAGGGTTCTTTCTATTGGGAGGAGTCTGTCCCAAACCCTAACCTCTAAATTTACACTTCTGGAAATAGTACATACTTACAATACTATACATACAAAATAAAAATAATAATTTTTCTGAAGGGATCTTTTTGATTTCTTTTAAAGTGAAAGATGAAAGATTAAGATTTATTATGAGTTCAATTTTTAAACAGAAAATTTCATTCATGAATTCGTATTCAAAAACTGCTCGTCACTACTAAAACACAGAGTTTTAATCTGCCTTAGAGCAGGAAGTGAGGCTGCATCCCTGTCCCTCATGGCCACATGGTGAGCAGTTAGATCCCATTGTTTTAAAGTAAATGAGTCCCACAGTCTGAAAATCAGTGTGGAACATTAAGAATCGTCATATTTTCTGCAGTTCAGCACTTTTTAGTGTTTTAGTGTAAAATATGATGATTTTCTGTGTGAACAGCTGTTCAAAGCTGTGTTTGCTGGTCATGAACTGCTGAGTTTCTGAGCTCAGAATGAGCTAAAATTGTCACTGAAACAGTCACTACTGAAACAGTCACTACTGAAACATTTGGTCACGATCAATCATTAGTTTTAATAAAATAAATATTTTTTAAGGTTTAGAGTCACTCAGAGCAAAAGGATTTTAGTCTAATGCTCAAGATCTGTTAAAAGCCCCAAATTTGTTTCAGCTCTGACTGTAAACCAGTTCAAGAGAATCATCTGTAAACTGTGTACGGATCTGATACCAGTACTTTGTTCAGGCTCTCAGTAACATTAAAGATCAATAATCACACTTCTAAAACCACAGTGAACAGCAGAAGCTCTGATATTGTTTTTATTCTGCATAATTTAGTCATTAAGATGTAAACAGAGTCGTTCAGAGTGGTTTGGTGTGAAACGCTCTGTTCTAGAGAAACTTACAGAGTCAGAACTGTTCACAGTGGTGGTGATAGGAACCAGACGTCCACCTCTAAAAGCTCCCTC